ACACCTGGACACACAGCTTATTCCAAATACAGGCCTGCTGCATGTACTTCTGAGAAAAAAAAAGATATCATTATCAACCTCCTACAGGTGCGTAATTTCTATCGCCTGACGCCTGGAACATGCAGTTTTGGGCACCAGGCAGGTGGGGATTTTTTGCCTCTTAATGGAGCAGACACCAGTATAGCATAAAGATCTGTGTCCCATGAAGAGCAGTTGCTGCAGGGGATACAGATCTTCATGCTACACCGAGATGGTGTGGACAGGGGCGGCAGTGGAACCAGGCTGGTGTGTCCAGGCTGCGGCGGCTTCCTGAGGGACCCAGTGACAGCACACAGCAGACACACCTACTGCTGCCACTGCCTGAGGGGAGAGCCCTGAAGAAAATGCCGCCTGTGTCATGGGGAGATGGGCAGCCTGCCTGCCGGAGCTGTGTTGTCATCATACAGATGGCCGACAAGCATAAGCGGAGTGGGGGAGCCACCTGCACAGGGACATCGCCAGGGGGATGGAGACCAGACACCACCTGAGAGGGGGGCACTGCACACATAAACTCAGGTATGTGTGGGTGGTTGTGTACTGGGGGCGAGAGGAGGTCAAATCTGTCCTCTTATAGGAAGGGGGGTGTCATATCTGTCCTCTTAAAGAGGGGAGGGGGTCATGCCTGTCCTCTTATGAGAGGGGGGTCATGCCTGTCCTCTTATAAGTGGGGGGTCATGCCTGTCCTCCTATAGGAGGGGGGCATGCCTGTCCTCCTATAGGAGGGGGCATGCCTGTACTTTTATAGGGGAAGGGGGTATTGCTTGTCCTCTCTTGGCCTCTGATTGGTCCATGACATTGGCACTTGTAGTATATTGCAGTGTCTGTATTCATGTTTGATGGGTGTACAGGTTGGTTATGTATACAGTCCAAGTACACATGTGCACATTCACCTCCAGGGCTGAGTGTATGGATGATGTAAAGGGGTATTTGTCCTATATACATCAGGGGAATTTCCATCTGTGTGTGGTCATCCCTGTTTGGACAAGCTGGAAAAATTCTATCGATCAGCAGCCACTGACAGTGGAGAATCCCTGGCAGGGATGTGCAAATCATATCAGTTTTTTATATTTAGCCCTGCTACAATCAAGCAGCAGGGTTTACTCTTTTTTTGCCCCTTAACAGACACGGATGCTGGACTACAACACAGGCACTTTATTGATTGGGATTCTGAAGCTCTGGCACCATGACAGCCGAGCAGGGACACAGGCACGGGTCATCCCCAGGATACACAGGGGGATACAGGATTTCACAGTAGCTGTAGCTTCCTGTGCTTGTGTTGTAGTCCGGCATGTTAGGCGGTAAGTAACTTCAGGTACCTCTTTGGCTTTAGCTCGTTGTTTGGCTTATTTTCCCTATTTCCGGCTCATGGGCAGTTGCTGCAGAAGATGCAGATCTTCACAGGATACACATCTTCATGCTACACTGGAGTTTGATTTGGCTGCTCAGCATGCGCTTGTACTGAGCACCCAACTGCGAGGGTAACCTGGACTAAAGTTTTTTTTTTTTCTAAACTGGTAAAAGATGAGCTTGCCAGATTACTGTAGAGACTCCTAAATAGGTTTAGGCTTTCATCCAGTTATGTATCCCAATTGATTAAGGGCATACAGAAAGGAGGACTGAGAGTTTGGGAACGTTTGGAGGTAATGTTGGCATACGTTTCTCTGCTAGTCAATTCATTCAGAAGGATCCAAAACTTTCTCAGGATTCTAACATTCCTGAACCTATGCAGATAGATGCGATTGAATGGTCTATTTCAACTCAGGAGAAAAAGAGAAGGTGTTCGGAGAACTTATGTTTATATTATGGGGTGTATTATGCAATTAATTGTCCCAACAATGTTAAAAGTGACTGCTGTTATAGTGCCTGAACAAATAAACTCCATAACCAGTCTATCTCTCTATTGATCCATGACTAACATAAAGTGAATTCCCCACTTTCTCATTTTGTTTTCCTATTGAACTTATAACTGAGGGATGTGAAATTCCTTGGTCTGCTATGCTGGAATCTGAGGCCGAGGGGAGCTTTATGGATAGAGAATTTGATCAAAGTAATAAAATTCAAACAAGAAATAAGTATTCCCCTATTGATATGGATGATGCTTTATTGGCAGGACTTGTTCCTCTTGAACTTGAGGCTGACCTTCATGAGACTATCAGCTTTCAGCTGATTATGTCTGTGACGGAGGGTAGGCAGAACAGAACACACAGAGTAGATGGCAAACACACAAAGCTTTATTGAGACAAACAGATGACAGTCACTTAATAGGGGAACTCGCCAGGAGGGTGAATACGCCAGTAAAGGGCAGCAAGGAGGGACCAACACACTTAAAGTCCCACACCGAGAGCCAAGAAAGAGTCTGATAAAGCCAAGATCTTGGGCCTGTTGGAATCTTTGCCCGTACCTGAAAAACCAAGGAATATGATTTCTATGGATTTTTATTGTAGAGCTTCCCCCATCGGAGGGATTCACCACTATTTTTGTAGTGATTGACCGCCTATCAAAGATGGCTCACTTCATTCCCTTGAAAGGGACTCCTTCTGCCGCGGAGACTGCTTCTGCCTTCATCAATGAAGATATTAAGATTGCATGGCGTTCCTAAAAATATTGTGTCCGATCAAGGAGTACAGTTTACGTCTAAGTTCTGGTAAGCTCTGTGTGAGGCACTAGAGATCGAACTGCGCTTCTCTTCTGCGTACTATCCACAAACAAATGGACAAACAGAGAGGAAAAACCAAACTCTGGAATAATATCTCCTATGCTTCTCACCTTATTCACAGGATGACTGGGTGTCTCTCCTTCCGTTAGCGGAGTTTGCATACAACTCCATTTACTCTGCTACCAAACTGTCCCCTTTTTACTCCAACTATGGATATCACCCCTCCTTCCTTCTGGAAATACCAGTGGAACCCGCTGTCCTGGCAGTAAAAGAAAGGATGGATTTCCTCAGGAGGAACGGTCAAATATTGCAAAAGACTATTTTAGAAGCTCAAGCGAGTAACAAAAGGTTCTTTGACAGAAAGAGAAGGGGCAACCTATATCTGAAACAAGGAGATAAAGTCTGGTTATCTGCGGCAAATCTAAAATTGAATTGTCCTTCAAAAAAGCTTGGTCCAAGGTACCTGGGACCATTTACTATTAAGAGAAAAGTTAACCCTGTGGCTTTTGAGCTAATACTACCTAATAACATGAAGATTCATCCGGTATTCCATAGCTCCCTGCTAAAACCACATATTCCAAGTGGATTTCCCAATTGAGATCCGGAGACTCCTGCTCCACTGCTGGTTGAGGGTAATGAAGAATACGAGGTGGAGGCTATCCTGGACTGTAGAAAGAGGGGCGGACAGACCCAGTTTCTCATTAAATGGAAAGGCGGTCCAGAGGATAATTCCTTGGAACCATCCACTAATGTCCATGCCCCACGGTTAGTTCAAGCCTACCTCCATCTTCACCCTGAAAACCGAGCCCTAGTGGGCATCCGGAGGCTGCTCCTAAGGGGGGGGGGCAATGTAAGGGATTTCCGGTGAGACGAATCGTGAATATAAATGCACATGCGCATAAAACGGCCGGAGAAGAGTGGTCGGTTGTGCGCATGCGCGCAGAAATGCGTGATCGCGCACATGCACGTGCACGTGCACACGCACGGCAAAGATTGGAGCCAGACGGGCTATTTAAAGAGTGCCTCTGCCCATGATAGGTGCTGACTGCTCTTCAGCTCCCCCCGTGTCCTGCTTGTTCCTGTGTGATTCCTTTGTTGCTGACCTGGCTTGTTCCTGACCAGACTGATTGCTCTCCTGATTGATACTGTTTCCTGACTTCGGCTCTGCTCCTGACCTTGGCTTTGCTTCTGATTCTGTACCATGCTGTCTGCCCATTGATGACCCCTCCCTCTATTCCAACTCCAGTGGGTCAGGGCTAGTGACACAAGTGAGGCCGACCTTGTCATTTCAGTCTCCCATCAGGTACGTGACAATATCCCAGTGACTTTCAGATGCCATTGTAACAAGATAACTAGTGTTCACTTAACCTATCAGTGGTCATAAAGTTATGGCTGATCTGTGTGCGTGTGTGTATGTATATATACAGTATCTCACAGAAGTGAGTACACCCCTCACATTTGTGTAAATATTTTATTATACCTTTTCATGTGACAACACTGAAGAAATGGCACTTTGATAAAATGTAAAGTAGTAAGTGTACAGCTTGTAAAACAGTGTAAATTTACTGACCCCTCAAAATAACTCAACACACAGCCATTAATGCCTAAACCACCGGCAACAAAAGTGAGTACACCCCGAAGTGAAAATGTCCAAATTGAGCCCAAAGTGTCAATATTTTGTGTGGCCACCATTATTTTCCAGCACTGCCTTAACCCTCTTGGGCATGGAGTTCACCAGAGCTTCACAGGTTGCCACTGGAGTCCTCTTCCACTCCTCCATGATGACATCACGGAGCAGGTGGATGTTAGAGATCTTGCGCTCCTCCACCTTCCATATGAGGATGCCCCACAGATGCTCAATAGGGTGTAGGTCTGGCGACAAGCTTGGCCAGTCCATCACCTTTACCCTCAGCTTCTTTAGCAAGGCAGTGGTCATCTTGGAGGTGTGTTTGGGGTTGTTATCATTTTGGAAAACTGAACAGCAGCCCAGTCTCCGAAGGGAGGGGATCATGCTCTGCTTCAGTATGTCACAGTTTATGTTGGCATTCATGGTTCCCTCAATGAACTGTAGCTCCCCAGTGTCGGCAGCACTCATGCAACCCCAGACCACTCCCACCACCATGCTTGACTGTAGGCAAGACACACTTGTCTTTGTAATCCTCACCTGGTAGCTGCCACACACGCTTGACACCATCTGAACCAAATAAGTTTATCTTGGTCTCATCAGACCACAAGACATGGTTCCAGTAATCCATGTCCTTAGTCTCCTTGTCTTCAGGAAACTGTTTGCGGGCTTTCTTGTGCATCATCTTTAGAAGAGGCTTCTTTCTGGGATGACAGCCATGCAGATCAATTTGATGCAGTGTACGGCATATGGTCTGAGCACTGACAGGCTGACCCCCCACCCTTCAACTTCTTAAGCAATGCTGGCAGCACTCATATGTCTAATTCCCAAAGACAACCTCTGGATATGACACTAAGCATGTGCACTCAACTTCTTTCATCGACCATGGCGAGGCCTGTTCTGAGTGGAACCTGTCCTGTTAAACCACTGTATAGTCTTGGCCACCATGCTGCAGATCAGTTTCAGGGTCTTGGCCATCCTCTTATAGCCTAGTCCATCTTTATGTAGAGCATAGTTATATAGTCTGGCTGAAAAAAGACAAAAGTCCATCCAGTTCAACCATTTAAAAAAAAAAAAAAAAATAAATATATATATATATATATATATATATATATATACAGTCAGGTCCATAAATATTGGGACATCAACACAATTCTAACATTTTTGGCTCTATACACCACCACAATGGATTTAAAATGAAACGTTACAAGATGTGCTTTAACTGCAGACTGTCAGCTTTAATTTGAGGGTATTTACATCCAAATCAGGTGAACGGTGTAGGAATTACAACAGTTTGCATATGTGCCTCCCACTTGTTAAGGGGCCAAAAGTAATGGGACAATTGGCTTCTCAGCTGTTCCATGGCCAGGTGTGTGTTATTCCCTCATTATCCAAATTACAATGAGCAGATAAAAGGTCCAGAGTTCATTTCAAGTGTGCTATTTGCATTTGGAATCTTGCTGTCAACTCTCGATGAGATGCAAAGAGCTGTCACTATCAGTGAAGCAAGCCATCATTAGGCTGAAAAAACAAAACAAACCCATCAGAGAGATAGCAAAAACATTAGGCGTGGCCAAAACAACTGTTTGGAACAACATTCTTAAAAAGAAGGAACGCACCAGTGAGCTCAGCAACACCAAAAGACCCGGACGACCACAGAAAACAACTGTGGTGGATGACTGAAGAATTCTTTCCCTGGTGAAGAAAACCCCCTTCACAACAGTTGGCTAGATCAAGAACACTCTCCAGGAGGTAGGTGTATGTGTGTCAAAGTCAACAATCAAGAGAAGACTTCACCAGAGTGAATACAGACGGTTCACCACAAGATGTAAACCATTGGTGAGCCTCAAAAACAGGAAGGCCAGATTAGAGTTTGCCAAACGACATCTAAAAAAGCCTTCACAGTTCTGGAACAACATCCTATGGACAGATGAGACCAAGATCAACTTGTACCAGAGTGATGGCAAGAGAAGAGTATGGAGAAGGAAAGGAACTGCTCATGATCCTAAGCATACCACCTCATCAGTGAAGCATGGTGGTGGTAGTGTCATGGCGTGGGCATGTATGGCTGCCAATGGAACTGGCTCTCTTGTATTTATTGATGATGTGACTGCTGACAAAAGCAGCAGGATGAATTCTGAAGTGTTTTGGGCAATATTATCTGCTCATATTCAGCCAAATGCTTCAGAACTCATTGGACGCCGCTTCACAGTGCAGATGGACAATGACCCAAAGCATACTGCAAAAGCAACCAAAGAGTTTTTTAAGGGAAAGAAGTGTAATGTTATGCAATGGCCAAGTCAATCATCTGACCTGAATCCGATTGAGCATGCATTTTACTTGCTGAAGACAAAACTGAAGGGAAAATGCCCCAAGAACAAGCAGGAACTGAAGACAGGTGCAGTAGAGGCCTGGCAGAGCATCACCAGGGATGAAACCCAGTGCCTGGTGATGTCTATGCGTTCCAGACTTCAGGCTGTAATTGACTGCAAAGGATTTGCAACCAAGTATTAAAAAGTGAAAGTTTGATTTATGATTATTATTCTGTCCCATTACTTTTGGTCCCTTAACAAGTGGGAGGCACATATGCAAACTGTTGTAATTCCTACACCGTTCACCTGATTTGGATGTAAATACCCTCAAATTAAAGCTGACAGTCTGCAGTTAAAGCACATCTTTCATTTTAAATCCATTGTGGTGGTGTATAGAGCCAAAAATGTTAGAATTGTGTCGATGTCCCAATATTTATGGACCTGACTGTATATATCATCCTAAAAAAAAAACCAGCAAAGCATGATCTAATTTGCTTCCTTCCTGATCCACCGGGAGGCAATTGGATATTCCCTGGATCAACTTTTCCAGTTATATTCTGTGTATTGTGACAGTGTGGCGATCTGTCACCCTGGATTCTCAACAAGGCAGGTTGAGGGGCTCCAGGGTAAGTGTTTGATACGGAGGAAAGTGGCTTTTCACTTTCCTCCTTTGTTTGTAAGGTCTGTTTTGGGATCTGGAGCCTGGAGATTTCAAAGAGATCTGGGAGGGATGAAATCTCCAATCCTGGGACCAGGGTTTGGGAATGGCCAGGAGACTGATTGCACAGGTGTGTGCAGGCCTTTTCAGAAATTCAGGATCAGAGTTCTGGGCTCCACCCCGGCAGATAGGAGTCAGGAGGGCTCCACTTGGAAGACAGGAGGTCACTGCCTGGAAGTCAGGTGGGCTTCACCTAGGAGAGGTGGAAGCCAAAAGCAGCAAGGGGCTGCTAGAGACTAGCTGTGTGCTAGTGGCCAGCTGTGAGCAAGAGCCATAATTCTTTAAGAAGTCTGCAGGAGGCAGACATCAAGCTGAGTGTAAGCCAGGAGGCTGAATCATTGTTTTGTTTGATGGTGGATACCCCTGCGTGGGAAGCTTTATGTTCTGGGACATTTTCTGTAAATAAAATTGGGCAAAAAGGCCCTTAAAGAAAGCGAGTTGCTGTGTGCGTTAACAAAGCTCTACCACTTTGAAGCGAGTTCCCACAGTATCTAAGAAAGAACCCGGGCCTTTTTTAAAGCAATCCACTGAGCTGGCCAGAACCAACTCTTGAGGGAGTATATTCCACATTTTTACAGCCTACACTGTGAAGAAACCTTTCCGTGTTTGGAGATTAAATTTCTTTTCCTCCAGATGTAAAGAGTGCCCCCTTGTCCTCTGTGATGACCTCACAGTGAATAGCTCTACACCGAGTTCACTATATGAACCACTGATGTATTTATATATGTTGATCATATCCCCCCTTAATCTCCTCTTCTCAAGAGAGAATGAATTCAGTTCCTCTAATCTTTCCTCAGAGCAGAGTTCCTCCATGCCTCTTATGAGTTTGGTTGCCTTACTTTCTCCAGTTATTTTTGTGAATTGGTGCCCAAAACTGAACTGCATATTCCAGATGAGGTATTACTAATAAATTTTTACAGGGGTAAAATGATATCTCTCTCTCTCTCTGGAGTCTATACCTCTTTTAATACAAGAGAAGATTTTGCTCACTTTAGAAACCGCTCTAACTTCTTTGCCATGAGGTGCCATGTTGAACTTCCAGTGACCAGTATGAGAGAGTGAGAGCAATAACACCAAATATAACACATCTGCTCCCCATTCACACCTGAGACCTTGTAAGACTAACAAGTCACATGACACCGGGGAGGGAAATGGCTAATTGGGCCCAATTTGGACATTTTCATTTAGGGGTGTACTCACTTTTGTTACCTGCGGTTTAGACATTAATGGCTGTGTATTGAGTTATTTTGAGGGGACAGCAAATTTACAGTTATACAAGCTGTACACTCACTAATTTACATTGTAGCAAAGTAGCAAAGTGTCATTTCTTCAGTGTTGTCACATGAAAAGATATAATAAAATATTTACAAAAATGTGAGGGGTGTACTCACCTCTGTGAGATACTGTGTGTATGTATATCTAGGATAGTGTCAGGGTCAAGGGTTGGAGTCAAAGGTCAAATGAAGGTCGAACTTGTAATAAAAAAACAAAGTACTCTATAATTCACCTGTATACAATAAATAGTTGTGATGATATGTACAGTTTTACTAACACATGCCAAAGTTACAAAATTGCATTCAGGCATTAAGATTTGGTTTACCTTCAGGCATTAAGGGGTTAACCTGCAGTGCAAGTCATTGCTGCAGGCCAAATAATAAATAGGTAAAGTGATTGTAAATTTTGGCTTTTTTAAATTAAAATAACAAACATGTTCTCATCTGTTCTGTGCAATAGTTTTGCACAGAGAAGCCTCAATCCTCCTCTTCTGGGGTACCTGCTGGCGCTCTGGGCCCCAACCCCCCCGACGAGTGCCCCCAGAGCAAGCCACTTGCTATGGGGGCACTCGTGCATGCTCGTTCCCAAGCCCTGCTCTTTGTGTCTATAAGACACACAGAACGGGGCTTGGCCCCAGCTCCTTGTCACTGGCTCTGTCTGACAGCAGCAGGAGCCAGTGAATCCTGCTGCTGTATCTAAGCCAATGAGGTGCGAGAGCCGAGAGAGCTTTGGCTTTTGTGTACATCGCTGGATTTAAATATGGCTCAGGTATGCATTTAGCCAGGGCTGCTGGGGAAGCTTCATGCAGAAGGTTTTTTTACATTATTGAATGGAATGCAGTAAGGTAAAGACCTTCTATTTTTACAACCACTTTAAAATAATGGCTGCATTGCCAGGAACAGCCCAAGTGTCTACACATTCTTGCATTGCTCAACTGCAAGTTAAAATATATCAGCCCCAATGTCAGGAAAAGTTCCAAGGATCTGTACAGGCACTTTTCTCTCCCATTCCTGCTCTTCCAATCTGATTGTACCATAAAAGTCTGTAAAAATCTTGCTTCATTATATTACTTGCCTTGAGAATTAAACCTGCGCTGCTCTGATGATACCTTTAATCAGAACTATAGGACCAACGCCAGAAAATATCAGTCTGCCCAGTGGTACAGATGACATAAAGGCACCTTCAGGCACAGCAAAACACCTGGAGACTTCTCACTGATTCCCAGATTTCCAAAGACTTGCTCTAAACAGGTAATTTAGGAAAACAATCCTTTCTGAACATAACCTGAACATCATTATTGGCCGATTTGAAAAAAATGTGATTGTGTTGACATTTTGTTGCCAGTCTTAAACAGGTCATACAGTAGATGGTTCGAATCTTGACTGGTTCAGCAGGAACCAGCAAAGATTCAAACCATCTATGGGCAAGCTGATTGTACCAATAGGATTGTTATGCGACTTGGGTACAACCAACCTGTTGGATATTTCATGCCATTATTGCCAGCAGCTATAGCCACTAGCAATAATCTTTGTGTCCTCCTAGTGGGGACAGTCCCCCCCCCCCCCGAGAACACAGCCGCTTCACATGGGGAATTCCCCATCTACACTGACTGGGTTTAGGGTAATTGAGTGATTTTCTTTCCTGCAACCCATGGTTTCTATAGCCGGATTAAAGATTCCCCTTTCTATATCTCTGTAACTCACCACTTGACCTCCAGAAGATTTTACCGCCTTCATGACCAAGGCTTGGTCATGCAACGCTGTACCCAAATTACATTTATAGCATTTTTTTCACACAAATAGAGCTTTCATTTGGTTGTATTTGATCATCACTGAGTTTTTTTATTATCCACTTCAGCTCCGGAAGATTTACCCCACTTCATGACCAGGCCATTTTTATGCTATACAGCACTGTGTTACTTTAATTGACAATTGTGCAGTCATGCAACGCTGTACATAAATTAAATTTATGTATTTTTTTTTTCCCACAAGTAGAGCTTTCTTTTGGTGGGATTTGATCACCTCTGAGTTTTTTTATTTTTTTTTTTGCGCAATAAACAAAAAAGACAGAAATTTTAAAATTAAAAAAAAAACTAAATTTCAGCTATAAAACATATTCAATAAAAAAAAAAATGGAAGAAATATAATTTCTACATAAATTTAGGCCAAAATGTATTCTGCTACTTGTTCCTGGTAAAAAAAAAAATCCCAATAAGCATACATTGATTGGTTTTCGCAAAAGTTATAGTGTATACAAACTACGGTATGTGTGTGTGTGTGTGTGTGTGTGTGTATGTATGTATATATATATATATATATATATATACATATATATTACACACACACATACATATACTGCATTTTTTTTAATACTAGTTATTAAAATTATTGTGGTGGACAGTTTGACACTAACTACTGACACTTTGTGGGAACCAGTGACACTAATACAGTAATCAGTGCTAAAAATATACACTGTCAATGTACTAATGATACTGGCTAGGAAGGGGTTAATCATTTAGGGTGATCAAAGGGTTAACTGTGTGCCTAGCCAGTGTTTTTGTGTACTGTGTGTGCTGTTTTTACTGGGAAATCTGCTAGATTTTATTCCCTGCTTTGCAGGGAAACAAAATGTAGCAGATCACCTCTGACAG